GCTGTACATAATCTTTCTCCATCCAAAACACTAACAGAGCACTCAGAAACAATGAAATGTCATTGCTACACCAAATATTTGCACCAAATTGTAAACAATTTTATTTCCAAATGATCTATATCAAAACTCAATTTTTTTAACGACTACAAGAAAGTGCTTTAACAATGTTTAATAAGAAATGATTCCATGATATTAAAAAATTACCAACATTTACCTTGATTTAAATAGCTTGTTTAATATGATATGGGTGTTTGAGAAACAGCCCCACCAAAAGGAAAATCTGGAAACACATTTCTCTATCAGTTTAAAAACAGGACCCAGTTCAGTTCTTCAGTGGCATCTCTAATAGGTCTGTTTCTTCTGGCTCACCGATTGAAGGTATCACTGAGAAACACGCTGACGTTGGCTGAGTAGTCCAGAGGGAGCACCACCCAGAGCGGAGGACTGACGAAGAGTAAGCAGGCTGTACTTACGGAAGTGACCGTAACCATGATGAGCCTGAGAGGACCTGAGTGAAACCTGCAGCACAAAAAATCACATCACAATGTTTAGTTAACGTGAATTAAGGCACCCCTTTCTCAGCTTCTGCTCTTCTCTAATTCAGTAGTTTTTCAGTAGGTTTTGGAAGTGCACTGCAACAACATAATTGATATTATTATCTTGATGTACAGTATTTTTATTTATTATTTTTTATATTATTTATGTTTTATTAATATAATTTATATGATTACATTACTTTGTTTTAAAGCAGAATTATATATATATATATATACAAAGTGACAGTAAAGAAATGTATAATGTTACAAAAGACTATTTAAAAAAAAAAAAAAAATAGTATTAAAAAAAACAATGCATATTTTGGAACTTTCTATGAATCAAAGAATTCTGTAAAAAAAAACTGTTTTCAACATTTATAATAATAAGAAAAGTTTATTTAGCACCAAATCAGCATATTAGAATGATTTCTGAAGGATCACGTGACACGGAAGACTGGAGGAATGGCTGCTGAAAATTCAGCTTTTGCCATAACAGGAATAAATTAAATTTTTTTAAAAAGTTACTTTACATTTTTTATAATATTTCATAAATCACAGTTTTTACATTATTAGTGATCACATAAAAGCATAAATTTCTTTCAAAAACAGTTAAAAAATGGATCCCAAAAAGTTATGTATTAATTTTTACAAATCTGTCAAACGATTAAGTCTTCCCAAGCTTGCCAACCCTCATTTTAGTTCAGTGGTTGTGAATGTTGCGCAAGTAGGCCAAGCTTAGCTATTACACAGGATAAATGTGTGTCTCTGGGTTTGTTTACACTGCTATCTGTACATTTACACTATGTGGACTGCAGAGTTGTCCAATCAGTTGTCCATGAAATGCATGCATCACTCACCTCTGAATTTGGTTTGAGTGATCAGATGACAATGCGTTTCAAGGACACACTGGATCCAAGCTGTACATTTTTCATTAGATCATTGTGATGGATAATAAAGGGTGCGTCTCAATCAGCTCCCTAGTTCAGTAGTCAGGGCACCGATCAGAGAGTCGGCCATTTTAAAGGCTGTCTCGATCATAAAATCCTTCTAGTGCACAGAAATGTTCTCTCCCTAAAAAGTCCCACAATGCACCATGAAAACCAGCGAGCATAAATGCTCACTATGTTCCCTTAACGGAAATTATGTAGGGCGAAACATAAATCACGCAAGCTGTCACGTCACATCAGTGACCCAATGTGTATGGTTAGAGCCTTTGCAAGGAATTCATTTGTAAGATAAGATAACATCTTTCTAAGATAAGACTGGGTGTGTGTGATCACAGTGCTGTTATGTCAGTCGGTTTCTCTTTCCATATGGTTACCTGAGCCCTCGTCTCCCATCATATGACCCCAGCCCCCACAGCCAACCTGTGTGCCATCTGGATTCACCAGCTTACAGTTCGAGCCTCCTATGACAAAAAGACAGACAGAAAGGTTTACGATGACAGTTATGTCCTGAGATCCATAACTACTGCTAGTTGCAAAAACACAGCACAAACCATAGTCACTAGCAGTTGCCATAGCACCAATGGCATCAGTGGTAATAAAATATCTTTTGACTCAGCTTGGGGTATCGCTCTCTCATGTCATCAATCAGCTTATGGATAGCAGCTTTCTGCTCTCCACCACTCAAAGCCATGCCCTGTCAACACACAATGTGTAAAACTTTAAAGCGACCTGATGAAGGTGAATGTGCAGAGGATTGACTGAGGCATCACCCCACCGATGAAAAAACTGGTGTGTCCTGGTCCAGCCCTGCCTTGATTTTAGCCCTCTAGACCATGTCATTGATCCCATTAATACAATTATCAACACCAACCAACTATAAATGAACAGGGGGGGAAAAAAGAGAGCCATATATAAACACACACTCAAGTACAGACTACAGTACCTGACTTCAGTCCATACTAAAGGACGTTCTCCGATCTTACCCAGTGATTGGTACATGGTCCATCTGTCTCAGCGAGGATGTGTCCCTCAGCAGAAACCAGCACTGCTTTAGAGTGTGTACCACCACTGTCAAAGTCAAGAATAGTTTCACATTCATTTTTCTCTGAAGCCACTGAGGCACGCGCTTTCAAGCGAAGCTTTTTAATAGTGATGTTACGTTCTGTGGCGAGGCTCCGGAGCGTGTGTCGAGAAATCCCGGCAGCTTTCAGTGAAGCGCGAATCCTGCTTGGCCAGACTGGTTCAGGAAGCGGTTCAAATCTGATAAATTCACAGTCCTCTGCCCTGTTAAACTCAGCCACTTTCCAGTTTTAGACTAATAATATTGCCCCTCCTGCCTATTATGAGCAAAGACTTGATTTACACACATTTGATAGCCCCATTAATTTCAAGCCAATACGTTTATTACACAATTATGTTGCATTATGTTATACAATCATTATAAAATACACATTATATTCATATAAATAGATTAGTCTATGTGGAAATTGATTTTTTTTCTTTACCGTTATTTCTAAGTCTTAACTGGCCCAAAACAGTGTATCATAATAGATCACATCAGGTCATCTGTAATGTATCTGCTTGTTTTACACTCTTTGGCCACCAGGTGCTATTGTGAGCAAATGAAGCCTCGAGAAATGAACCCTTTTGTGAACCACTTGGATGAAAGGCTTCAATGATTCATAAGGCTTCATCTCGCCATCACTACTTTTTAATACGCGTTTTAATAAGCGTGTTTATGTTAAAATGCCTTTAAAATGAATCATATTTGCGCTTTAATAAGTTTTTTTTTTCATAAACTCACTCCTCCGTACACTGCGCTCATCTCGTCCGCTTCCTCTTTAGTCACATGACATGACCACTCAGTCAGCTGCTTGACAGAAAGCCTTTTTTTATTATCTAAATCCACATTAAATTTGGATTCACATCCATTTTTATTATCTGGCTATATTTAAGAGAAGACCAGATAATATGATTCGTTTTTTCGCTTTTTTGATTTTTTCCATATTATCTCAATAATCGTTTGTTTGTAGTAAAACAAATAATTAGAAACAAACAATAAAATATAAAGAAAAAATGAAAGAAAAAAACATACATTATACACTCTGACCAACAGATGGCAGCATTGCTGAAAGAATCTCGCTGTCCCAAGCATCACATGGCCATTTTTACTATTCATTCATTAATTTTTTTTCTTTTCTCCAATATATATATTTTTAATATTCACATCATTTTTATTGTAAACTTATAAATTCATCCTTCAAAAATGCTGATAGACAAGACAAAATACATACAGTTACTGAATTCTTTTAAGTAGATCATCAAAATAATAATAACAATAAAAAACTACAACTGACAGTTTAAAAGCGGAAAGTCTAATGTGAATGTCAAGCTGACATTATGTGTCATTGTGAGCAGTGCTTGTGCTACTTCCCTGCATGCTGTTGACCCACATGCTGTTTTAGGCTATTTATTTCATATAAATATGTTAAACATATAAATGTTTTATTTTATTTTGCTTATTTATTCTACTTTCCGGTTTAATAACTTCATGACAGCTATTCAACATAGAAATACTTTTGCTGGAAAATTATGGCATTAAGGGCAAAACATTACCTTCTGATTGGTTTGTAATTTTCAGCCTATTATTACTGCTTCAACCCATTATCCATACCTCCATCCGTATCACAATTTTATCACAGTGACATTAACACCACAACTTGCATCAACGTTTAATTTACAACAGAAAACCATATGTTTACGTTTGCAAGACATGTACAGTGCAAGATCGAGGATTAAAGAAAAATCTAAAACATGTGAAGTCAAACATGTGTGAGCAAACCATGAGAAAAGCAGCCCAGTGAATGATATGGATCATAGGCTTAGTGCATTCTAAAAATAAAAGGACTAAGCATGGGAGTCAGCAGGACACCCTGCATTTGCCAGTAATAGAACCATAATTATTGCAGTGCTAAATGAATGTTAAAAAATTACAAAATTAATTAATGGATGTAAATACAGTAACTGCACCTGTCTTGTGATTTCTCTCTGACAACATTATAACAGGGATGACAACACACATTTTGAAAAACAGTTATAATTGCAAGAGAAAAGGTTTCAGGTCATGCTTTGCCTGTGTTTGGGCTGAGGAGTAGGTGGGAGGAAAGCCTGTGGGCGCGCGCTTCCTCTATCGCGAGAGAGAGAGAGAGAGAGAGAGAGAGAGAGAGATAAATTAATTAATGGATGTAAATACAGTAACTGCACCTGTCTTGTGATTTCTCTCTGACAACATTATAACAGGGATGACAACACACATTTTGAAAAACAGTTATAACTGCAAGAGAAAAGGTTTCAGGTCATGCTTTGCCTGTGTTTGGGCTGAGGAGTAGGTGGGAGGAAAGCCTGTGGGCGCGCGCTTCCTCTATCGCGAGAGAGAGAGAGAGAGAGAGAGAGAGAGAGAGAGGGAGGGAGAGAGAGAGAGAGAGAGAGAGAGAGAGAGAGAGAAGAGAGAGAGAGAGAGAGAGAGAGAGAGATTCAAAATCCAGGTTCAGCAGCATGAAAACGTTCTGGTTTAAAATTTCGTTTTTTCCCTCCAAACATTCATTTAACTTCTAGAATAATTTTTAATGAATTCCCGTCGAAACGCCCCTGAAGCAAAAGTTTGCCAAGCGGAAGTTCACGCGGTAGGAAATCGGAAAAAGAGTGAAAGAGTGAGAAATATATATTTATCGTTTATCTTGCTGTGCGGCTAGAGAATATTTAAAAAATGGACACTCACGTTAAGGAGGGACAACTGTACGTCCAGCATCAGAAGTTTGGAAAGGTAAGAGCTTGTCGCATGTTTGATTGAAGAGGCGATGACAGATGACGATGTGTGATAAACAGGAGAATCTTATACAAAACACTAGTTGAAACACTTGTGCCAAGTTATTAGATATGTAATCTTTGTATTTACGTTTAAAACATTATATACATTTTTACGCTAATTTAATTCAGTGACTCAAAAAATGTCATATGGTGTAACCATTAAGTAACAAATATTAAAATACAATACTTTTCTTGCACGTTCAATACACTTCAGTGTGCAAAGTTGCAATGCAAATGTCAAACATATTTTTCAGGTTAAAAGTATTGTTTTAACAAATTTAACGGATATTTTGAATCTTTTAATATGTTTGAATCACTACTATCAAGAGGATTTTTAGTTTTTAATGATTAGACTTTTTATGTGATAAAAAAACAACAACTTAAAGACCTTGACACACAGTAATGAGAGTGGAAAGATGTCCTCTGCGTTTTAAGCTTTTATTGTAACATAACAACAAAACAATGTCCTTCGTGATTTTATGCCACACTCAGTTTTTACTTGATTTTTCCCCCCTTCAAATATCACTAATATTTGGAAATATAATGAAAATGTCAAATGAAGTTAACATTTCTCTCGCTCTCTTTTTTTTTTTAAATTAAGCGTATATATACATATATGATTTTTCATTAAGAAATTGGAAACATCATAGCGAAGAGTAAATGGATTTTTATTTAATGTATTTTAAGTAACTTTATAGCCCCCCCCCAAAAAACCCCAGCACCATAAACTGATGTTTTAACATTTACTAATTCAAATTTATCCAATCACATAGAGAGTGGCAGTAGAAAGAGGACCTACAAGATCTACCAAAAATCATTTAATAATAATAAATAATTTAATATAAAATTAACATTAAAGACAATTTAAATAGTTTCATAAATAGTAAGAAGGAGTGACTCTATTCCTCTTCTGCAACATGAGATTGTCACATGAATGAGTACATCAGATCCTGTGCTATAACAACACATCTTCAGATTTCAGCTCTCAGCATGCATATTCTGTGTTTTTGGGCCACTAACTACACAAACACTAACTACATAAAATGTAAAGCTGGACAAACAAACTTTTCTTTCTCGTGAGTGATATCTAACCACTAAGCAAGAGCTGGTTATACATACACACGGCCAGCTGTGTCTCTAAATAATTTCCACTCTCTTGACTGTCCATGTGCAGTGGAAAATGCTACATCACAAACGCATGACCACAAAAGGTTCTGTTTGTTTTCTCTCTGATTGAATATGTAAGGCATGTATTTTTATCATTCTTTAGACATTGATATGAGTCACATGTCTTGCTGGAGCAATGGCTTGTCATTAATTTATTATTCACTTCCTCTGTCTGAAACGTCTTTGTTATGTGGAAGTAAGCAAATTATGAGGACAGCTACATGTCTTTACCCTCAGGCAACAGCAGAAATTCAAATTGAGCATGGTGGACTTTAATGCTGCCATTCATTCATGTAGGTTTTACTCAGGAGCACTTTAAGCTTGTCTGATGGTTTTAGCTTAGTTTAAAAGCCAAGTACAAGTTATATTGTGAAGGTTTTAGTAGGGCTGCACGCTTATGACAAAAATCATAATTGTTGATTATTCCCTTGAAATTGTAATTGCGATTATTAATTATGATTATTTCAATTTACATTAAATGATGTTTATACCATTGTTTGACGCAAATGCATGCTGTATTTTTATATGAAAATAAACAAGCTGAAAACACTCTAACTGAAAAACTTTTAGTGCTTTTCTATAGTATTAAGCCTCAAATGTCAACTATACATCGGATTGGTTTCTTCTTTAAATTATAAAAAAGTTAAATATGAATGGTATTATAATGTTATACTAAAATAAAAACCCTTAAGATAACATGTAGAAAGAAAAAAATGCATATTAAGCACGCAGAATAACATAAGTGGACTTTGAACGATTAATTGCCGCTTACGTAACGATTACGGCATCCATAGGCCTAATTGTAATCGTGATTAGAAATTTTATTAATTGTGCAGCCCTAGGTTTTAGTTTAGTTTAATAGCCAAGTACAAGATATCTTGTCAACAATAACACATGACTAAAAATAATCTTGTGTGCATGGTGATTTTTTAGAGGCTGAGAGACTGATGATAAACTCATAGTGTGATGGTTGAATCACCTAGAATTATATTGCTGTGTTGTGCTAAAGGTCTAACAGAAAAAACTGTGCTATCTATACATGCAGCAGAATCAAATGAAAGTCCAACCAACATAACAAATGCAACAAAATGAATTAGAGATGTTTTATTGTGCACAAGCATGTGAGTGTCAGTCCCTGGCATCATGAAAAAGTAAGGTTGCACTTTAAGTCAAGTCAAGTCACCTTTATTTATATAGCGCTTTTAACAATACAGATTGTGACAAAGCAACTGAACAGCATTATTTAGGGGAACCTGAAACCTCATGCCCTTCATTGTTGATGTAGTGTTTTTGTTTGGTAATGAAAGTCAAATGAGTTTGGATAGTTTTGCTGGAGGCTGGACTGTCACTTTTACAGCTGTACACTGTAAAAAAAAATCCGTAAAAAACGGCAGCTATGGTTGCCGGAATTTTACTGTAAAAAATATGGTAGCGACGTTTTAAGTTTTACGGTTTTAACTTAAATTTACAGTTAAATACCGTAATTTCATTAACTAATATAATGTTAATATACCAACCTATTGAAGTACTGAAATCTGTTTTGTAGTTTTATAATACACTGATAACCACCAAATTAGGGCTGCATGATAAATCACATGCGATATTTAATGCACATCTTGTCAGTAAAGCCGGTTCTGTAATCAGCGGTAAATCTCCATCACCTGCGTGCTTTCACATTGAGCTCGTCAGTGAACAACGGCTCTGTGTAGTTAATGCTGCTCAATGTTCATAAAATTAATGTTCAATACAGTTTTTCACCATATATAGTAGGGGAATGTACCATTAACCATTTAACAGGTTTTTACTGTAGCATTTTTACAGTCTTTTACCGTTAAATTCACTGTCATTTTTTACAGTGTTGTGACTCACACTGTCAAAACAGTTGAGGAGTTGGAAACACAAGGATGGACAGGAAAAAACAACATGAAAATGTTGCACATGAAAGTGCATGGACCTTGTTTGACAACTCTGTGCAAAGTAAAACATGATTAAACATTTTCTCTTTCTCTCTCTTTTTAATCCAGGGGAGTCATTTCACACACTACATTTGTAAACCCTGCATAAATGTTTTTATTTTCCACATTTTTGAGGTCAATAACATTGCCAAATACTGCTTGCAACAAGCACGTAACCTGTTTTAATAACTGCTTGACCATATATAGAGATGTCACAACATAGATCTGTCTTCTTAACATAGAAAAGTCTTCTTAAAGCGCCTCTATTATGCCATTTTTAAGGTTCCTAATATTGTTTTGGGAGTCTCCTACAAAAGGTTTACATGCATGCAATGTCAAAAAATGCTTTCGTTTTCTCAAAATATGGATTTAATATCACCTAATTTTCCAACGATTTGTTTGAAGCAGTACTAAGATTCAGTCTCTCTAAACCCCTCCATTCCGTGAGCCTAACTTTGATCTGTCAGATGGCTCAGTGTGTTGGCATCGGTCTAACGCGTACAGCGCGTGTTGGAAGCGATATGGCCATTGCCAAAGATCCATATTTTGAATGCTCAATAGAAAAAAATATACATCTATTATTTATCATACTTACAGGTTGTGATTCAGTGGAGCCAGCTGGTCCAAATAAACTGGGTACTGAGCCATCTTTCAAGAGCAAGTGTTTCGTGAATCCTACGTTAAACTCCCTAAGATTCGAGAAGCAGTTGTCAGTAAAATGATGGGAACACAGAAAAAGATTGGGGTTGTACTGCTGTGAATTTTAACCACTGATTCTTTACAGCCTCATCTTTCGGAAGTGAAAATAAAATGAATTTACTTTCACAGTGTAGGACGGTGTCTTCTCAACATACAGCAGGGGTCTTCAATGTTTTTCAGGGCAAGGACCTCGTAGGCGACATGGAGACATAGAGACATGGAGCAGGGACCCCATGATACAAAATGTCAAGCAGAGCTACATATTAAGCATATAGCCTTCAATATTAATAGAAACTAAACATATTATGATTAAGAATAACTATTATTATGTTACATGTATATTATGACTGCCTCAAGAGCAAGTTTAGACGAGATCTGCCTTCTCTGCGTGAAGGAGTAACAAGAAAGGGATCAAGCATCCACGTTACAGCTGGCTATTTCACCCTCTGTTCATCTCTGAATGTCCCACGAAGCTAAGCTAATTTTTCTTTTTCTTTTTCCTCATTGCTTTAAAGCTATCAGAGTATTGGCAAATATTGCTTGTTGTTTAGGGCTTATAGTTGTGCAGTAGAATGTTTGTTCCTAGGCATGTTTGTTTCTTTACAATTACATTTAGACATTTAGCAGTCGCTTTTATCCAAAGCGACTTACAAATGAGGACAATGGAAACAATCAAAATCAACAAAAGAGCAATGATATGCAAACGCTATAACAAGTCTCAGTTAGCTTAAAGGGGTCATGTGATGCGATTTAAATTTTTCCTTTCTCTTTGGAGTGTTACAAGCTCTTGGTGCATAAAGAAGATCTGTAAAGTTGCAAAGACTAAAGTCTCAAATCCAAAGAGATATTCTTTATAAAATTTAAGAGTCAGCCACGCCTACCTAAAACGGCTCGTTCTAACACGCCCCCAGATACCTACCTCACTATGTGGGAAGATTTGCATAACGCCGCCCAAATGTTCACGCAAAGAAAGAAGGCATAACTTTCTCGCTGTAGTATTGTTGCCGCCGCCGCCATGTCATGAAGGCACTGTGCGATTCGTTGTGAAAGCGAAATTACTTTGTGTGGCCTTCCAAAAGAGGACGATATCTGCTTCGTCATGCCTGGAGCTGATCCGTGCTGGTTGCTGAGAAAA